CGCCGCTTTGAACAAGGAAAATTAAGAGGGAATGGGCCGAAATCAATCCCAATGCTTACTGAGAATGCCATTCTTCCTAAAGACTATTCGATAAAGGAGGGGCCAAGCAGTTACATCAGAAAAGGGATTGTCGTCGACAATAAAGAGGATTATTAAAAACGCTTTTTTGGTTTATACAAGGGAATCTTGAATTGGTGTTTAGTTCACTTGATTTCGGCTTCACGCCTTTTATTTTCGATATTTTACGAATCAGCGTTTTCAGCAAATGCGAAGCCATCATCACGTCTAGTTCCCTTATCGTCATTAAAGCCAGATGAGCTAGGGCACTCGATTCTGTTCTGTAAGCAGACGCTTCCTCCAGGATCGCCACGAACTCCTCATGACATGGTAGCCAGTGGGGTGTTCATAGCTAAGGTATGCCACTGAAGATTCCTCTCTCTCTCAGAGATGTCTCATATTTCTCACCTAGGTACTCTCTCTGTCTTCTTCAGCGGTGGGTGCGGTAATGGTGCCTGTACTGACATCTTATCTATGGGAAGCGGCTACGGAAAGGCCATCTATGATGATGTTCACTGTTGGTATGTCCATTATTTGATTAGCAGCTTGCTTCATCAGAGGCTAAATATGATATTGTACATCTCTTAGTGATTTTACAATCTTGTTCGGTGCGGATGAAGGGGCATGTCAGGCGAATTGGGTTTAACTGGCGCGAAACCCATTATCCACCATTTGTGAAGCTGGTAAGCGGCAGCAGTTAGTGAAAACAACTGCTACGAACAATATGATACAGTCTTGTCGCTTCCCCAGATCAACAATTGGTGGAGAGGACTCATGCGTGCCGAACCCAGGCCTCCCCCTAGCCCCAGCATTCGCCCATAAGACGCCGTCGTATCCGCAGAGAACAAGACAGAACTTTTGTCTCCTTTTCAACGCTCCCATCTAGCTTTTATGATGATCAGATCTTGAAGGTTCACGTACTCCATCGGGCGTAATGAACCTTTAAGCGAAAGACGAGGTATGCCCTAGTTCGCTGCGGGTAAAGGGGCGTGTCAGGCGTACGAGTGCGCCACGGCGCCAAACCCGTTCGCTGCCAGTTGTTGAAGCTGGTATTCGACAACAATTGCGCCGAACTCATCCCGCCTGACACGCCCCTTCGTCCGCAGCGAACTAGACTACACCTCACTGCTTTCTGCAACTCCCTCCCCTTACTTTCTCACTTGTCTGTTTTTTTAGCTGCTAGTGAGTTTTTCATTTTAATGATTCTTCTTTCAGTTGCGAACACATTCCTTGTTCTGTTGTCCTTCACTCCACTTCTGCTGCATTTCTTAGCCAAAAGGTTTCCTATAAACCTTTACTACAATCACGACACAAAGGTAGCTATTAACTTTGCTTATCTTTATGTTATACTTATTTGTAAGTTCTTTGTTATGTTTTGTGCCCTACGAGGTGGAACACTGATTAATTATGGCCGAGCGTTTTGACTATCGTCATCTTCAGAAGCTGAACGCCTTCCAAGGATTAGGTTACGCTCTGCCCACCAAGCGCCCCGTCATCAATTCTCGTTCTTCAGTGTCGCTTGTGTTGACTTGTATGTGTTTCAGACCTTTACATCTGTGCACTATAATTTCTTTCTACGGAAGATGGCCTTGCGATTCCAAGCGCATGAAGTGGTCGACGCTCAAATAGCACCCGAGATGAGAAAGGTCTGTACCGATCCGTAATGTATTTTTTGGAGCAATTCGGTTTGGTGGGGGCACCAAATGGTACTGAGGGAAGCTTGTTCAGGTTGCCCTGTGAAGACCTCTTAATTTCTGTAGCGGAAGAGACTCACTCGCACTATTTTACAGCTTCACAGAGGTTCACAATTTAATTGTCATGTGCTGACAGAAGGAATTAGTTAAACTTTTCAGTTCTCCACCCCTTCTAAGCCACAGCTTCTACTTCTTTTATATAAGATTGCGTTAATAGTTTGTGTCTAATGGTTGGACATTAGCGTAACGGTGTTAAGCGTTCGTATCAAGCAATTATACACTAAGTATGAGCTGCACCATTGTTCAACAACCCCAGATTCCAATCAGACGTACAAGACAGATTGCTATTAGGTTTTCATTGGTTTTTTATCCAAGTTTTCCTTTTTGAGGTCTGGATCCCACTGGCGACGGCGTTTGTCCGTAAGAGGCCTCTGCTGATTTCTCTTGACAGGAAAGCGTACGTGGATAAGCTGGCTTTTGATGAGATGACGAAGAACATCGAAATTCCGGCTAATCATGATTGACTGCTTTCTCATGGCGATTTGGATTCCATAATAACACTGAACACTTCCAAATTTGTCTATATATAGAACTGCTCAAAGAGACTTAGAAAACAGTTGATAAATTGCTAGCGTTATGTGGTTTTACTAGTAGTGGTGTTTTAGTAGCATAGCACTTGAGAAATCGGTGACTTCTCTTTTGAATAACAATGTCATCTTGAACATTTGGAAGGCGCCTCGCGCTAACGATTTGGAGGTCGTAGGGCTGAGAATTATAAGTCCGTGTGGTGGGGGAGGGGGTGGGATAACAGTGCGAATCGAACCTAT